TTCCCCCCATTTCGCATGTTTTAATATAGGCCTTAATTTGGGGGGGGGAGGGGCTTAATTTCATTTCATGCCTATAAAACATTCTGGGACTTCCTATTGGGGGAGGCCGTATTGTTGGAGAAACAGGGTACTCAAAACTTAAGTTTTCAATCTAGCGAAGACCCAGACTGAACAGCTAAAAACAAAAACCATTTATAAACTAGCTTACCTCTTGTTGACATGTAGCAGATTGTGGGTTCTAGTCCACTTTAGGCCTAAAAGTCAGCTGAGTGACCTTGGGCCAGTCACTCCATCCTAGGAAGCAGATAATGGCAAACCACTTGCCAAGATTTTCGTGAAACCTGATCCGGGGGGAAAAGGCAAAATACAAGTAATGTATCCTAACTTACTTGCATTTGTCTTCTGGGGAGGTGTCCTCTTTTCTGGAGCAGCTGCGATTTTTTTCACAGGGCTGGTCTGCCGCAAACGCATCTGAGGATTTGGCTTTCTTTTCACTTGTGCAGCAAGCACCGTCCCTTGGTTAGAGGAAACCTGCAAATATACCCACCGCAAGATCCCAGAGGAAATTACATTTTATAGGATTGTGTTACGTTATCACAAAGATGGCTGGTGCTCCCTAAGATTCTGAAGCTTCTCTGTTGTGCATGAAAAACAAACATAAGGTCCTATATGCACACATGCACACACACCCTTCCGTGGATATATGAAAGTTAATTGTACAACTCACATGCATGCTTTTTGAGATGTTTATAGCCTTAGCTTGCATTGATACAAAGATAGACTAGGCACCCTTTCAGCCTGGAGAACCACGCCAAAGTTAGTCACTATACATACCGCACTATCTGCCCAGTTCTCCCCCTCCCTCCCTCTCTCTCCCGCTGGCTCTGCTATTGGAAATACCTGTGGGCCTTGATCAGAACTGTTTTTAGCAGAAGCTTCTGTCTTCCTCTGTGTTTTCCTTGTGCTGGTTTGAGGGAGAGGTTTCAAATGCAGCAATGGCTGCTGGCCTTTTGTGGTAGTGGGGAGGACAAGTGGGCGGTCTGTCCTGTTGTTCCTGATAGTTGCCTGGAAGCGTAAGGCAGAAATAAAGCAGCTGCAGCTTTTGAACAGAGCTACTATTCTGTAGAAAATTAGCTAAAAGTTTTTACACAGACTTTCTATGGGAACAAAAACAAAACAAAACGTGGAGATACATATCCCATTTAAAGAAGTATGGTTCTCAAAGCAGATAACAGTTTTTAAAAGGCAAAAAAAGTAAACATATGACTAAGTTAAAAACAAACGGGCAGATTCCACAGAAATGAAAAGTATATGAAGTGAACAAAGTTTTAAATGGTTGTCTAAACGTGCTTATCAAAGCATATTTTTTTCCCCAAACAAGAACTTTCTTCTATGACTGTGTTGTAATGTACAAGGCTGATACAAAAAGACAGAAATATTTGGTGGCCAAGAGCTGTATTTCCCATCTAGAAGAGGGAAGCTAAGATGTACATGGGTGAAGCAATGATATGCTGTGGGCAAGGCCATATAATAGAGGCAGGTTTTGGATTCCTATCAAGTCCCCAAGGTGGTAGGCAGATACGGTAGTTGTTTTTTGTTTGTTTAACATGTAGTATGCCAATTTTAGGACATACATTGCACTTTCTGTTTGTGTTCTGCTTTGAGATGGTGAAAATCTTAGCAAGTTATTTGATAAAATAAAAGTGACTACAAGAGCCACAAAATTAACTACTTGGGGAATGCAATTTAGCTACTCCTACTGTTAGCAATTTTCAATTCTTAACTTTGTTAACAAAATTCTTAACAAAAAATTTAAAGTTAACTGGCATAGATTCTGGGCAAAAACCTAAGGTTTTGAAAGAGTACAGTGGGCATCTCTGTCCCTCTCTCCTTTTACGATACATTTAGTGCAAAGTGAAACAACTATCTTTCTTAAATGTATATAACTCTCTCTCAAAAATCTAAGAATTTTGACTGTAATGTAAAATTCTGTATTTCCAGAATCTATGATCATGACTGTATATACTACACTAGATTTTATACACAGAGATACATTCTTGTTTAAGAGTACTAACTACTACTCTCTATGCATTTTGATCTGCTCCAGATGATGCTTCTAAAATAGTAGGGCTTTCTTGTCATTTTTGAAGCATAAGGCAACTATGGGAAGTGAACAACTCAAAGCAGAGAACATAATGTATAATTTGGTGAAGCCACACTTGGAATATTGCATTTGGTCACCATATTAAAATACATAGAGACTCTGGAAAGAGTGCAGAGAAAAGCAACAAATATGATCAAGGGACTGGAAGCTAAACATGAAGAATGGTTATAGGAATTGGTTATATCTAGTTTAATGAAAAGAAGGACTACGAATGACATAATAGCAGTGTTCCAATATCTAAGGGTCTGTCGCAACCTATTCTCTAGAGCATCTGAAGGCAAAAGAAGAAGCTTGCTCTGGATGTTCCATCCATGTTTTTGGATGGAAATTAGTCAAGGAGAGAAGCAACCTAAAAATGAGAAATTTCCTGACAGAACAATTAATCAGTGGAATGTCTTGCCTTTAGAAATTGTGGATGCTCCATCATCGGAGTTTTTTAAAGAAGAAATTGGACAACCATTTGTCTGAAATAGTATAGAGCAGGGGTGTCCAACCTTGGCAACTTTAAGCCTTTAAGCTTTGCTGGCTGGGGAATTCTGGGAGTTGAAGTCGTCCAGGCTTAAAGTTGCCAAGATTGGACACCCCTGGTATAGAGTGTCCTGGTTGAGCAGGCGGGTGGATTAGATTAGAAGACCTCCAAGGTCCATTCCAACTCTGTTATTCTGTTATTCAAATATGAGAGGGTTCTGGGTAGAGAAAGAAGATATCAGGATGGGGATTTTTTTTTCATAATACTGAATTTGCAGATTCAATTTTGCAAAATGGAAATGATTAAAAATAAACTTTACAGGGCTAGTGAATAGATTGCCACCAAAAGTACTTGGAGAATTGGTAAACAAATGCTACATATTGTCATAATCCATGTAATGATCTATTGCATCAGCTTTGTTATATGGTAATAGGAAGATAATGCTAATAAGCACTATGCAGAGCTACTTAAAAGGATCTTTGTGTAACTACTGCAATAGGGAAAAAATAGATTCTGCAACTGTACCATCTCCATTTAATATACTGAAAAAAGAAACAAACCCCATAGTTCTTTGGGTCTAGCAATCCAGAAATTTGGGGTGGGGATGGGGGAATTAATTATGCAGCAATTAGATTTAAAAAGCCATCATGTGTACAATGTGTGGACGAAATGTCTACAAACATTTTCAGCTAGCGAACCTGACATTGCAATCTTTACAGTTCTAAGAAATCTAGAAGGTCAACTGCTGAGGTTTTGCAAGCTGTAACTCAACAGAGTTGAAAGGCTGTTGGGAAAGGCTGACTTGAGTATAATAAGCACAAGTTTAGGAAGAAATCAGAATCAAAACCAATGATTTCCTAAGCACAATCTTCACAATCTATATGCCTTATTAATGAGCTTCGGTCCTGCCACGGTACCTTTTTATTGCCAGATGTCATTGTCATCAAGGCCTTGGGTTCAGAGAGCTTAGCTTGGGGAACATCAGTGCTGCAAACGTAAGGTGTATTTTGGAATCTTCTGGGACTAAGCATGTCCGTCAGGCGGGAAGACGGACTTCTACCTTCGGAAAACAGAGATTTGGGGGAACCTTGAGCCAAGCAGGTAACTGGTTCCACTATTGGGAGCAGAGCTTTCAGAGCACTGTTTGTCACATTGAAAGTCTTTCTCCGGGACTTCTGGGGATTCTTAGTCTCTGCACACAAGAACCTGATTGGGGCGAAAAGCTCATGTTCTACAACTGTCTCAAGCTTTGTTTCAGAGCTGATATTCTGCTTTTCCAGCAGCTGACATTTCTCAAGCTGCATAGCCAGCAGGTTAGCTTCTTTCATGACCTCCTCCAGCCTCATTGGAGCCAGGGGACTCCACTGTGGAATTGGCTCTTTGGTCCTTCCATCATTCTCCTCCAACAAGATGTTTAGATCAACTTCTTGTGCCACATTCTTGTCATTGAGTTCAAGGGGACAAGTTATAGACTCTTCCTCTTCTTGTCCATAACAGCAATCACTGCTGAGAGAGAAGAAAAGGAAACACATTTACACGTTCAAGGAAACAGCCATGTAACTCAAAATAAAATTTCATATTTTTATTATTGTAGACTTGTTATGAGAGCCATGTAAATATTGTAAAGAAAGAATATAAGAAGGTCGCGTAAGAAAGTAGCTCCCACCCGGCTGGATTTCAAAGTATTTGGCTTTTGTACAAAACAAGAATAAAGTTTATCAGTATTAGCATTTTCAACTGTTTTTATTTAAAAATGCACTGGAAATATGTTAGGGATTAGATACAGTACATAATCTTTTAATTTAAGGATCAGACAACAACTTAGAATCATTTTTGTATTTTTTCACTTTTCTCCCAAGTAATTTATTTGATCCACTAAGATCTTCATTTGTGCATACTTGTGCAAAATCTTGGCACTGGGCTTTTCATTTTTACTCTCCAGTGGAGTTTAGTAGCTTCAGTGACCCTGACAGCAAGATCATAAACTTCAGGAAGGTCTCCTTGCTGATAAGATCAGAAGGATGAGGAATAAAGAATGATTCCGTAGGAATGAAGGCAAGTGGAGCTTGTTATTTAGGGAAGAGACTCCAAAATGAATGCCAGAAGATGGCTATAACTTCTTTATTGTTGCCAAGGAAGCTTCATACGCATGACTGTAACATTTAGTTAAAATTGATTCTAGATTATGAAACCATCAGATTAGAAGGCATTTCTGTTGCAATTGAGGGGGAAAAAACCTGATTTCCCTTAATATGACTGGAGTAGAGAACATGGCTTTATCAATGCTATAGAATGCCTGATCGCTGACAATGGTACTCTCAAAAGAAGAATTTCTCATTTTATAAGGTCAGACTAAGTTGGAACATGGAATGTAAAGAACAATGATCCAAAGGAAACCTGACATTTTCAAAGTAGAAGTGAAATGTACTATACTGTATGTTTTAGGAATAACTCAACTTAGTAAATGCAGTAAGTGAATCCGAATTGGTCCCTTTAATTATAATATATTATATATTAAGGACATGAGGCCATACAAAGGAATTAAGCATCACTAATACTTTAAAAAGCTATAGTGTGCTTACCTATAACACAATAAATGACAAGGTAATATATTTCAGAATTCGGAGGGCATATAGCAAATATCAATGTCAACAAAAGTATACATCAATTATAGCCACATTGATGGAAGCCATTGACAAATTTTATGGCAAATTGCAAATTTGAAATGCAAAATTGGAAGAAATGGAGAAAACTGAATTACACAAAGATTTAGACTAAGTAAATGCAACAATGCAGGAGATGTTAATAGAGTTTTATGAAGAAACATTTGTCTTCACTGCCAACATTTGCATCAAGCAATGTAAAGGCAGATCACATATGGACATCATGGAATGGACAACATCCGAATCAAATGTAATAAAATACAGAAAATGGAGATATACTCTAATATATCTAATTCACCAGGACATTTTCAGGTAGAGTTTGTAGAAGCCACTGATTTGACCTAGAGAATATACAGTCAGAATGTAAGACAATTGAGGACCAAATTTAATATATTTAATTTAGTAAAAAAAAGATCTCATAAAAAAATAAAAAGTGAAAAATATTAAGATGACAAACATAATATCAACCACAATTACTGAATTTACAGGTAGGATCAAAGAAACGAAGGAAATGGATAGTTTTGCCATCTTGGACTCAAGAACTGACAGGCATGGAGGGCATTTCACATGAGTTAATTCTAGCAATGAAAACAATGACAAATTTAGACAAGATGTGAAGATTAAGAATATTTTCTATGACAAGAGTTGACAATCCCTTCCCCAAGTGATAACATACAAATATGGAAGCTAGATATTTTAACAGATCAAGAGAAAGAATTTAGATAGAGTAGTGCCACCTACTTCAAAAAAACAACTGTCATTTGGTCCCAGACAAAGTAAAGACTCCTTTAAAATTCTGGTCACCAAGTAGAAATTCATACATTACATAGACAAACTTTGAATATGTAATGCAAGTGGATGATGAACTAGAAAGAAATATTGTGCATGGCAAGATTGATGGAAATAGAAGAATGGAAAGGTAATGGAAAAAATGAATGAGCAGGATCAAGGAAATTATTGGAATATCCTTAGAAGAACTATCAGTTGATCCTGCTCAAGATAGAAGGGAGGGACTGGGCCTGAGTTCATGGCCCCTAAAGTAACTAATTTCACTTTTTAATTTTAAAAACCCCCACTGTTAGTGGTTATGAAGGTACTTGCTTATCAACTTCACATACTTGCTATTTACTCATGAGTTAGCATATGAATTGTCAGTAATGATCTATCAGTCTTACCCATCCAAAGCAGAAAATAGTTCAAAATCAAGTGTCTCATCAGTAATAAATTTTATATCTGAAAAATAAGAAATCATAATAATTAGAAGTATTAATTTGGATATTTAACCTTTACCATCATCACAAATATTACCTAGGCATCTTAACAGTTCTAAGCAAGAAGAATGAGAAAGCTATTATTTGTACTTTGTAGTGAAGTATATTCCCAGAAAAAGCTACTTAAAGCCCTTATAAACTCCATGGAAACAAAAGATGTTAATTCTTGTGCCCCAAATCACATGGAAAATTAGTGGTGAAACAGAAAATGAAAGTCATCTGTCTATTCATTATTCTGCTACTAATAATTTTAATATGTTCTGAGAATTATGAATATCATGGGGGAACCTGACCTAGACAATTATGAATAGGCATATTTACACCAAATGAAATCTACCTGAATAAATAAACTTATAATTCTTCATAATATTGTACAGAAAGCCTCACACCAAGTATTACACAGTGTTAAAAAGTTTCTACACCATCCTGAAACGGGATTTTTTACAAAGAAGACTGATGTTATAAAGTTTTAGCAACAAGTTGTAATGTTTCCAATCCAAATGACCTTGGATATGGTATGGAATAATTTCATGCATATATTTAAATGCACAGATACTGACTTCCTGTACTCACCCTTTGATGATTCCATGCTTTCTAACAATCATCTCAGGATACTACTAAATAACTGAAGTGGGAAGATAACAGTTAAATACATCTTGAATGTTAAGAAAGACGTGTTCTGCTATTTTTACATATTAGAAAAATTAACAACTAGATCAGAACATAGAGAGCTGTTATCTTCACATTACTGGCATTGATGTTCCAGGTTTTCAGGCAATCATATTTTATTTGAAAGTTTAATCCAGGTTTGATCATATAAAACCATCTTGTTTACTAATTTAATAGCAACTTTAAATCTGACATCTACTATTTTTATTTTAAAAAATTGTAATCCACAAAAATAATGTATGTGTGTTAGTTATACAGTAGTTTTTATTGACATTATATTCTGCATTCTATAAAATTGGGATTTGGAAAAAGTCTACTTAACAAATCCTATAGAAATTAACAGGATATTGAAAAAGACTGCTTGGTGAAATATGGTAAAAAAAGACTATGGATGTGAAAAAAATACATAGAAAAAAGTGCTTCAAGAAATTAGAATTAAAAAATACCATATAATCTGTATATAAAGAAAAACATAATGACTAGTGATGTGATCAAAGAGAGCAGGAACCAGTTCAGATTGCCAAATGCAAAAAGATTTGAATGAAACAAACAGTTTTGGAATTGGATATGAAATGCTCTGGGATGAAACTGAAGGGAAGGAATACTGAAAGGTATGTTTTAGAGATCTGTATGGGCATGATTGAGATACATGAAAGAAATGTGGTAAATGTTAATAGTCCAGAAAAAATAGACAAAAATAAATACTATGAGAATGTTGAAAAATGTAAGGTTGCAGCTGTAGAAAAGTTAAACTATGAATGTGGTTTGCTTATGAAGTGACTGTGCTACTTGTTCATTTGTATGCAAAAGACCTGCATCTGTGCCTATCTTTGAAAGAATTAAAGTGAAAGGTAGTAAGAGTGAATGCATAACTATAGGGAGTTTAGTTTATCAAGTATGCCTGGGAAAGTGTTTGGCAGAATTCTCATTGAAAGGATAAAAGTTATGTCAGGATGCAGACTCTTGAGAAGTGCAGGGCAGCTTTACACAAGGCAGAGATTGCACAGATTAGATCTTACTTTTCAGCAATTCACTGACAAATGTATGTGTGATAAAGATGATTTATTGTAGATTTGTTAATATATGTAAGCACACAATAAAGCAAATTACTTGGAACTGTGGATCATTTTTTGTGAATGTGAAATTGAAAGATGGTTGCTGAATGAGATAAGAGTGACATATGGAAATAAAATGTGCATGAGAATGAACAGAATGTTTAGCAAATTGTTCCCTAATGATTAAGGAATAAGTTTCTTTTGGTTATTTAATATATTTGAATATATGTATAAGTAACGCTTGTGGCAATATTAGAGGCAGATTGATTATGAATAGAAATAGCTGTGTATTTTTGTATGTAGCTCCTGTGTGTTATTGACTGAAAACACCTATGATTTTCAGCAAACATTAAATGAATTATACAAAATATACTGGAGTGATTTTATAATATAATGAAGACTGAATTACAGAGAAAATATATGCAGTAAGGGAAAAGCAAGTGGGTTAATTGGAAGAGAAGACCAAGAGGTTGGATGGAATAGATAAAATCCTCAAAGAGAGGGGAGAAATTTAAGAACAAAAAGCACTGCATAGGCATGGGGAAAGCAAGAAAACTTTGCAGGGATAGAAAAGTATGGAGAATAAAATGATGTTGATATAAACTAATTTAGGTACAATATCTTTTACTTTGCCTTGTTTTTTTGCTTACTAGTTCTTACTCTGTGCTTTGAATGCGTATTTATGGATGGAATAATGTGGTTACATTAAATCTGGTAGAAACTTCCTGCTCTTAAAATGGTTACAAATTGCAGAGTAGTTGCATTACATTATTAACACAATATCTAACAAATGCAGGCAGAAAGTGGGACCCAAGAACTTAAATCAAAAGACTTCGGAATGCTGTGCTTACAATGTTGCAACTTCTCAGGCAATCCAAATGAAACTTATGCAGCTTTTCTCAATTTAGGGATAAGAATCAACGTGTTTTTTTTTACTGATTGTTCAAAAGGACTCTGACAATAATGACGTTGAGCACAATGCCACCTCGGAGTAGCTTTTGTAACACCAGGATTGAACTCAATAGAACCAGTGAGCTTCCAAACAGCGTAGTCCTGGCCATAGTTTGTTTATTTCAGACAAGAATGAAGCCATCTGTATCCACGTCCGTTTGACTTGTTATGCTTTTTCGTGTATCCCAAGATTGGGAGTGAAGTCCTTTGAGTCTGACTATCCTCAGACTATAGTAACTAAATTGCAGTCATTTTGAGCAATATGCATATGCTTCTTAGAAAAAAAACGAAGCTCTCCTTTACCTTACCCGTTAAAAAGAAAACGGCTTACAAGAATCAAGGGCAGCCCTAGCGGGGAGAAAGGCAGGCAGGACGCAGTTTTATTTTGCTTGAAGGAAAATCTCACGCTGCTCAGGGAGGAGAGGGTTTGATTCCCTGATATGTTCAGCATTGCAAGTTTTAGCTCCTGAATAAAGGAGCTAAAGGCGGGGGTTTAATTTGCAAACAAGAGCAAGGTGCAAATCGAGTCTCCATTCAATGTTTTACACGCTCTCGTTGCGTTCCTAACCTCACCTAAAATCCTACGAAGTGCAGCTTCATTTTTGCCCCTTTGGTGCGAAAAAAAATCCTTCCGTGCAACATGCAACCCATCCCCGCCTCCAGCGTTACCATCTCCCTCGCGCTCTCACCGCAAAGCTCCTCCGGTGCTACAGCCAGCCAGCCAAAAAAAAAAAGGCGAAAATAAATTCGAATTTGCCCCTTTTGACTTCGTCACAATAGAGTTCTGCATTCCTTTGTAACGATTGGCCCGAGGCACGCGGACTCCCTTCAGCAACGCCCCCTTTTCGGCTTTCTCTTGCGAGGGGACGACTTAGTCGGTGGTACCGGAAGTGTGGCGCGGGAATTTGATTCCCCCAGCGGCAGACGAGGAAAGCATGGCTGCGGTGCCTCCGGACACTTGGCAGCCGCCGACTGTTTCAATGGAAACCACGTAGGTGTGAGAAAGAGTTGGGTAGCGCGATAGAGGGAAGGTTCCAGCTTTGGTCTTAGCACCAAATAAAGAAAAGCTTGTGGAAAACTCCTGCAGGGAACCATTGCAGCCGGATAGACCGATTCCGGTTAAGTTTCCGGTTAAAGCTGTTTTTGGAAAGAGTTGATATCCCAGTGTTTCTGACTGAGGAGTTCTGGGAATTGAGGTGCACATATCTTAAAATATAAATTTTGCCCCCGACGATCTGTCCCCAATGTGATTTTTCAGGGCTTCCAAAGGTGCACTCATCACCACTGTAATTGAGTCCATCCTCCTTACCGCTGGTTATCCTACTGTTTACTTGCTACTTTCCCCATTATTACAACCAATGAGTTAAGTCTTCGCGTAATATGTCCGAGTAGGATAATGAGCGCTCTGAGTGAGAACTCATAGTTTGTTTTTTTGGCTATCCATGGGATTTTCAGGACTCTTCCCCAACACTAAAGTTCGAAAGCATCAGAAGCTTTACTATTCTGCTGCTTCAAATGTGAAATGTGAAGATCTCGTATTATATCACGTTGTGCCTTTTCATCTTAATGTTTTATTAAATAGCATAAGAATTCTATTTTTGCAGCATGGGGCTCATGATTTTGGAGCTATACTGGAAGCATGCACCCAAAACTTGCAAAAATTTTGCTGAGCTCTCCAGACGGGGATATTACAATGGCACAAAGTTTCATAGGATAATCAAAGATTTCATGATCCAGGGAGGTGATCCAACAGGAACTGGTAAGAACACGTTCAAAATACATTTATTGGATATCATGTTAATAAATACTGATAAAATCTAATGTATAATATCAATGTGATATTTCGATGGCTGCCGTTTGTCCATTTCAGCTTTTCCCCAAATTCCTCCAGTCTCATTAAATCTAGGTATCCTAGAAACACAAATTTGCAGGAAGCATTTTCTACGTTGGCTTTCCAAATTAATTTAGTCTTATTATTATGATAGGAAGAGGAGGAGCATCTATCTATGGCAAACAATTTGAAGATGAACTCCACCCAGAACTGAAGTTTACAGGTAGGTAATTGTTTTAAAAGGATTTATATGTTCTAGAACCATGATGGCAAACCTATGGCATCCGTGCCAGAGGTGGCACACACAGCCTTCTTTGTGGGCATGTGAGCTGTCTCCCCAGCTCAGCTCTGCCACGCATGTGCGCACGCACCTCCTGCCGGCCAGCTGTTCTTCAGATCTCTGCCATGCATGTGCAGGGGTGGGGTGCATGTGTGGGCACGCACGTGCACATGTGGGGGCAGGGCGCATACACGAGGGATGTACACACGTGCAGGGCATGCATGCACATGCATGGGGCTGTGTGCGTGCATGCACAGGCGGGACGCAGGGGACACATGCATATTGCATTTTGAGGATGAGCATGTTCTTTGGGCACTCGGTGCCGAAAAGGTTAGCCATCACTGCTCTATAAAATAAATGCTTCGTATCTGAAGTCAAATCAATTGGGTAAAGGCACATCTGACGTTATTATCTCCCCAATTAGTTACTGATGGCCAAATTTTTAGTGATTGTGCTAAAAATCAATAGGTTTTTGTTATAATTTCTCTTAAAATTATTTGTTCATTTTTTTAAAGATGCTTTTATTTTGCTTGCCTTGAACTAACTCTGGATAGCTTGCAAAATAAAAAAAATACAGTAAAAAATAAATATTAAAATATTACAAATAGATACAGATACAGATAATGGATAGAGATAATAGATACAGATAATGCACAAGTCCAGCAACCTACCCCAAGGCCTGGGAAAATAGTCAGATTTTCAAAGCCTTTCAGAATGCCTTTCTTGAGATCTCATTCCAAAGGATAGACGCCACTAAGAGAAGTTACATTTCCTAGAATCTCGATAGATGACACTGTTTAATCTGTTGAATTATAGAGGCTGGGGAGAACTTTCATCCCTTTAAGCATCATTCAGTATTGTGAAAAACTTACTCCCAATGTTTCATGGATCACCCGACTGATAAATTATTTTCATCTTTTAAATCTAAGTTTAGGGGATGACACCAGACCTTTTTTAGCTACAGAGATACCCTAAAAGTGGTGGGAATGACACATTGCTCATTCCAGTAAGTGTTGCGAAAGGTATTTAGTATTACAAGGGCTTGTGGATGCCAGTTATTAGTCAGTAGAGATGAGTAAGAAGTGGGAAATGTACTTCAGATCCAGAATAGGCATATGTGTTATACCTTTCAGCATCTTAATGAAATTGTGCCTTTTCCTGGTCACATACAATAGCTCACAGAAAGATATCCACTTAAGTGCTAATGTCTCTCTAACATCTCCTGAGCTTAAATCCGTATTTTAATAGTTGGTATAAGTGTAAAAGACATCTGAAATCCATGAGCAGTCGTATAATCTCAATACAAAACTTGTATTGGTTTGACTGAATTTTGATACCAGTGAAGAAGTAATGTGCCATAAAGATCCAGCGGGGTGCTACCGTGTTTCTCATATAATAAGGCCGGGTCTTATTTTTTTTTTGAGCCCCGAAAAAATGGCTAGGCCGTCTTTTCGGGGGTGACTTAATTTCCCCCCCTTGCATCTTCGGGCGGGCGGCGACGGCTTGGATGTTGACCTCGGCGTTGGTGGGGCACTTCGTATCGGGGTCAACGCAGGCAGCACCATATCCGGGTGTGCAACAAAAGTACTTCCTAACGGCAAGCCCCCCCACCATTCCCCCCATTTCGCATGTTTTAATATAGGCCTTAATTTGGGGGGAGGGGCTTAATTTCATTTCATGCCTATAAAACATGCTGGGACTTCCTATTGGGGGAGGCCGTATTGTTGGAGAAACAGGGTACCATCTGTTTTGTTTGCATATTTGATACAGGTAACTTAGAAATTATAAACTAGTAATATTTTTTTCCTCCTTAAGGTGCAGGAATCCTTGCTATGGCAAATGCAGGTCCAGATACAAATGGAAGCCAGTTCTTTATTACACTAGCACCAACCCAGTGGCTTGATGGCAAGCACACTATCTTTGGTCGTGTTTGCCAGGGAATTGGGATAGTCAACAGAGTGGGAATGGTGGAAACAAATGCTCAAGATCGTCCAGTAGATGATGTAAAGCTTTTGAAAGTTTTTCCATCTGGCTAGGCTGAAATCATAAAATTGTTACATGTAGACTCTTCTCTCCCCCCCCCCCCCCCCCCCCCCCAAAAAAACCCCTGCTGTGTGTCAAGAGATACCTGCCAGCTTCTTGCAAAGTAATCTCTACTAAAATTACCTTCCGGATTCATCGTTAACCTTTTTATTAAAGCTAAATAATCAGCAGGTTCCTGAACTATTTGTGATGGATAAATGCCATCAAGGTGTGATAACTGTTATTGATAGCATAATTTTGTCTTCCATTTATGCTTCATTTGGAATGTAGCAAATCATATGCATAAATAAACAAAATTTGAAATAATCAGGCAACATGTAGTATTTTGCAAGTCCTCATAAATACCTGTTGACCTAGTGCAGTGTTCACATGACTCTGGAAATAAGATTAGAATGTTCCAAGTAGAACTAGGAAGTTGATTTGTTATCATTTGTTTATTATGTAATTATATAAAATATCATTAATAAAATATAAAATTTAGGGCCAAATCATTCATACTGACAGTAATTTCACTCTTGGTCTCATTTTTATTCCTCAAAGTCAAGGACACGAAAACTTATGATACATTGTTTGAGTAAAGTGTGTTTGGGTAAATAAATACCTTCTTGTTTTTACCATGATTAATAGTTCAGTGCTGCAAATAAATACTTACGTATTTGTACATATTTATTCTGTGTTTATCTCCATAATATTGCTCATCTGTATTTCTTTCAATTCATACCTATAGATTTTCATAGTCTTAACACCTAAAAAAATACATATTAGTACCTCAGTACAAATTTGTACTTTGGTACAAAACAAATAATAATAGGGATATGAAAAATGCAGAGAAAACAGTGCCTATTTTTGACAGCGATTGGTTTAACACACCCTAAAACTCAGTTTATTGGTGACTTGGCAAGTTACACATTTGTTTATTACTTTTTAAGTCCAGCTAAGTATAGTTTATTCATTCAATCTCTAATGGCACTTTTTGGTGTATGAAGTTAGCCAGTCACTTGTAATGCATTGGTTTGCATGAACATTTGATCTTTATATAGACTTGTCTCTGCTTTCATACATTTATGACAGCAAAGACTTTTTTAGTCTCCAAGATTTCATTGGATAGATGGAATATTATGCTAATGGCAGACACGCATATACAAATTCAACTCTAAATTGAATGGTCATGAATTAAGAAAATGTAAGTAAAGTTAAAATTCAGGATGTATACCTTGATGATAATGGTTGTTCAAAAAGTAAGTGTTCGCATGAAATGAACATTTTTGGACTGGAAACACATCTGGAAAACAAACCCTTTGCTCTTTTCCTGTTTCGTATTGTACATATGTTGACGCTGCACCATCTTAGTTAGACTAAAGGGGGCAGTCCTATTCCACAAGTTTTCTAAGATGACTGTAGTGAAATAATTGAAGAAGTTACTAATAGCCATAAGGTGGAGATAGAGCCACCTTACAGAAATATGGCACGGAAAGACAAAATTTCAAGTAATGGAATCATTCTTGAATTATTCAAGATTGAAACAGTTAAATGGTGAAATGAGGCTTGGTATTTTTAAAAGCATATGCAAGATTTCCATGTTATACTCTTTATTTTTAAAAAAAAAAAACTGCTAAGCAAAGTGTCACATAATGAAATGCCTTTCAAATATATTCATAGTATATAGATTTCATCTAATGTTGGCTTGGATTACTTACTTGAATAAAAATATTTTATCAATTTTCTAAAATATTCAATAGTTTTTCAACAAATTTTGAGAGATGAAAGTCCCAGTAGGATTTAGCAGAGATGCATCCAAGTAAACACAATTCTCACTCAATTTAAGCAATTATGCTATCATGTAAAAGTCTTGCTAGTATAGTACATATACTTTGATTAAACTTAATGCCCTAATTTTGCCACCATCACAGTCTAATTGCAAAAACTCTTGGCTTTGATAAGGAGATGTAGGCATGCATAATCTGGGAATTATTTTATTTGGAAATGTGTGTTTTATTTTTCTCTTAGCCTTGCATTCTTCTCGTGGTTACATTTTTTTGCGATGATTAATAGGCAAGACTAAAAACAAAGTTCCAGCGGCTGCATTAATATCTTCTAATGATTAATCTGTAGTGGTTTGTGAAAAGGAAGACAAACTCACCTGAAAACATCTTGTGTTGATTATGGAAAAAGCTGCTGCCTAGTAACCGAGGGGGCATCGGTCACAGATTTTTAATATAAAAGATGTGATGTGATTTAAGAATGCTTAGAGAACCTCTATACTGCATCAGACTTCTAGTTCGTTTGGACAAACACTTCTCTGCAATGTCAGATATCATTTGTCCAACAGTTTCCAAGCACAACAAGACAGACTCCCTTTTTTTAATCCATTGCTATACAACTGGTAGGAGAATGCATTCTGTCCCGTTTCTCTTGCTCATTTTTCATCTCAGCTTGCAAGATTAAGGGAAAATATATGAAACCGTGTATATAACCTGTGTGATTCTCAAGAACTGGAATCTTCCGAATTGTTACTGGGCTGAGATTAAACAGATAGCAAGCAAGAGATCTAAACAAAGAGTCAAAGTGCAGAATGGAAAATCTGAGAAGCTAGGGGATGGGCTGAGCAAGGCCATCGTGTTGTTGGACTGGGTTTTTTTTCCTTCTGGTTTAAAATCTAAAGCATATTTTCACAAAACATTGCATTGCATTTCTTGCAAATAAAACTTTTTTTTTTACCATTGCATTGTATGGAACATACTTGTAAATAATTATCCCTAAAATTATGCTTCCCTTGTTTTCTAAATCTGTGAGCTCTTAAATGTTTGATGTCATCCTTTGCCCTGGGGAAGAAAACATGTTTCAGAAGCAATTATGTATTTATTTTCATGAATACATCTTAGTCCTAAAATCGCCGTGTCCTGGTTTTATCACACAGACTGCAATTAATAGAAGAAAGAAATTTGAAACTCTTGTCTCCTCCCAACATCTGCACTGATACTGTTATTCATTTTCTACTGCTTACTTATATAATTAATGCATTCAAATATGGTTCTTGATAGAGAAACTGTTAGTGTGTATGTGTGTATCTCATACATATGTATTCCTCACAAAATAAGCAGCTTTTTAGAGCAGAATCCAATTTAAACAATAAAAATACTCTGTACCATATTCTGAGATGTTTTCCTTCTACCATCTGTGAACCACCTCTTAGGAGTCTGTATCCAAAACAAGATAAACATGGTCTAGAGATGGGGATCTCCAAACTTGGCAACATTAAGACTTGCGGATTTCCAACTCCCAGAATTCCTGAGCCAGCCCCACTGTTGCTCTGAGCAGGTGGCTTAACAATTTCCCACTTTTCTAGTCTGGTGTCTAGTTCCCTCAACCATTCATGATATGTTTTAGCCTCCAGACACCTTATCATCTTTGTTGTTCTTGCACATTGTGGGGTCTCAGCAATATTATTATTATTATTATTATTATTATTATTATTATTATTATTATTATTATTTTGGTATCGTGACCAGCACTGTATGCAATATTCCAAGGGTGGCCTCGCTAGTGCAGTATAAAATGGTAGTATCATTTTTCATGTTCTTGATTCCACTGTTGATACAGCCTAGGACTGCATTGGCTTTTTTTTTGGTAGCACATTGATGGCTCAGACTTAAGTGGTGGCCTACTTGGTTTGGTAATTAGTGCCAGCTTAAGATCCATAGAAGTGGTGGTGCAATGGTTAGAGTGAAGTACTGCAGGCTATTTCTGCTGACTGCAGGTTGCCTGCAATTTGGCAGTTCAAATCTCATCAGGCTCAAGGTTGACTCAGCCTTCCATCCTTTCGAGGTGGGTAAAATGAGGTCCCAGATTGTTGGGGGCAATATGCTGACTCTGTAAACCACTGAGAAGGGCTGGTGTTATTGCTTTTGCTATTAATCAATACTGAGTAAGAAATAAGGTAAAAAACACACCTAGGTAGGCAAAACTAATCAATGAGAATATTAAACTTCTACACTGAATAAAAAATGTAGATAGGTCCTAAGCTTTCTACCTGCAGTCCTTCAACAGACAGAAACTCTCATTAACCAAGAAAGATCAATACTTACTGGAAAAGGATACAATTGGAAAAGCCTATTATATTGCAAGCCAGATCATCCTGTCCTATTACATTCTGTCAATCGTTCCAGATTGATACTCCTGCATCTGCACTATTTTCAGGATTGCTTTCATTTCTTACCTGTCGCTTCTATACTGATTACACCTTTGCATTTTGCTTCATTCTCATCCTGCTTTAGTTCGACAATTATGTTGTACATCCCTGCATAAACTGACATGTAAAGTGGATTGGGAAATCCCTGATGAACCAAGAAAATGTACAATTAAAAAAACCATCTGCCAAATAGGCAGTCTTGATTCAATATGTTATCATACTAATTCAAAGCTAAGGAATGTTAAGAAAGTTAAGTTCAGCCTGAACTTTAACTTGTTGATTAGACAGATCAGGAAGACAAAGAAATGGTACAATATATAACAAAACAACAGCCAGATTAGAGGCACAATTCAATGTTTAAAAAATAGCGCAATTCAACTGGACTGAACCAGAAAATAATGAGATTTGGGAAACTGAAAGCCTTTTTTTTTGAAGTGGTGATTGTGATTTCTCTGTTTTCTTTAATTATTAGTACACAAAACCCAGCAAAGGCTGTAATATTTAAGACAGATATAAAATATTCAGGCATAGGAGCCCGCCCTAAGGCAGGGAAACTGGAAAGTTTTTAATGAACTGTTTTCTGGCATTGATGATGCATTAGCAATTTTCCCAAACCTGCAAAAGCATCATCTGGAACTGCCTGTTTTGGCCAACAATTTCTGTCTTTCTCCTTTAGACTCATGCAGCTCACAAGGCACTTTTTACAAAATGGCTACCTGTGCAGATTTTATGTACTGAAAACTATTTGCTATCCTTGAATGTGCTCTTTCCTCCCAAAGATAGCATTTGTGTAATGGTTACAGCAGGAATAGGAATGGGAATGGTGGTGTTTTTTAAAAATCCCCAGTCAGTACCGTATTTCCATTTCTAATGTTCCAACTTTCAAATCCGTCTTTAAGAAATACTGTTTTTACATCTCAGATTCTGTGCTTAAAGTGCAACGTAATGGGCTGTAGTATCTTTAACTCAGTCATTGGTTCCCTCAGTGCACAAAGTACATGATTCTGGCTTAAAGGAAGCAAATGATTACCAAATATTAGATTCATGATTGGAAAGCAATCATATTAAGTACATTTATTTTTAATTCCATATCAATAATGTTATATTTAGTCCCTCCCTGCCAAATTTTTGAAGGGCAGTTCCCATACCCATTTCAAAGTCAATTGCAGTCCTCAGGACAAAAATGACTTGTCCATCCCTTGGTTTAAGTGTTATGTGAACCTAGTCATTGCAGAGCAGGTCTGTGACTCAATGTGTTTTGAGAATCCAGCCAATCATGGTTTATTCAGATACCAGATATAAGGTAATCCTGCTGAGATGCAATATATCCATGAGCGGAAATCTCAGGATACATGGGCCCTGTATCACATTGGTAAGTTGCAATCAAAAATGCATTTACCTTTAATACATTTTGGGGTGTAGAAAGCTAGCACCCACCCCTCTCCTAGAAGAATGAAATATTCTAGGAAATATTAAAAAGGCAGAATATTATATTTCTCTGGAATGAAGAAAAGGAGAAACATGTTTTAAAGACAAAGCAGCTTCCTGCAGCTCCCTGCCCCTCCTTCAGCTCCAGGGTGATGGGATTAAGACATGGCGCTCAGGAAATGATAGGATTACCCATCTCACCACATGGTCTGGGAAGATTGCATTAGCCAGCACTCAGGTGAAGCCATGTGGTCCAGACAAAGTCTACAAAGTTAGCTAAGACCGCCGCCCCTGGGAGTCTGACAGCCAATGGGATACATTTCTTTTACAGGAACAGGAAACACTAAGGTGGGGCCCAACGGAGGGTATGAAATCAAGGGATTCTCAGTATCCCTTCCCTTTTTCACTCAGGAACTCCGAGCCATGTGGTCCTGTGCACCATTAAACCCTCTTTCCAAGCAACTTCCATGAATCCAGTGTCCACTTGGAACTGAACCCAGAAGGATATTTTTTCCAACAGGGAGATAGCAATTAAGATCTTTTTTTTTTTACAGTGAACAGATATTGGGTTGATTTGATTGGTAGACAGTAGATTTGTATATTTGAGATATTTGTCCAAAGAATGTGATGTAAAATAGTAATTTAGTAAGCATAGATGAAAAATACAGTATATAACTTGTATACCAACACTGCAAGGGAGCGAACCTATTAGATTTTTGTGAAATACAGGTATTAGCATTCAACTGGGATGGAGGTCATGTTTATTGTTAAGCTTATATTTGCTTTTTCTTTCTTTTTTGGTGTTTCATTTTGGTGTAATTTTTGTGTTGTTCTTTTTTTTAAAAAAAAATGTATTTGTATTTTATTTCTGGAAAAAAATGCATTTACCTGAGAATAAGTCTAGTTAAAGATTCCTTATACTGTTAATCTTTTAAAAGAAATCTATCTTATTTGTGCACTGATACTATATAATCAAT